GTCTCCAGCCGAAGCCACACACACACACACACACACACACACACACACACACACACCCCTTTTACTGACTCCAGCACAATCACACACTTGTGTTTCCTACCTCCGCCAGGTCCCAGACCTGCTCCCAGGCCTGTGGTTCCCCACCACCCGGAGCTTGCAAACACCATGTTCTCCCTGTACGCTGTTAAGCACATATCCCAGCCCTCCAACAAGCTGTAGTCCAGCGCCGACTCTCACCCCAATCCAGACTTCCTTTCCTGCTCAGAAGCAGACTCTTACCTCAGCCAGGTCTCTCCTGCAGCCCTGGCCCCCGCAAGTCAAAGGAAGACATGAAACGTTAACTCACATGACACCAAGTTATTAGTATTTTAAGAGAAGGCCAAGGGTCAGCAGCTTTGTCCACAGGACAGTGGCTCTTGGGGGTACTGTCAGGTACCTTCCTGAGGACCTTGTCTGGGTCTCTCCTGCTGCGCCCCACAAACAGCCTGTGCTTGCCGACAGTTCTAGGGGAGTGTAGGGCTTAAACCTTTCACCCCAGAGTAGGACATAAAATAGGACGCATCTGTCTCCTGAGTTCAGGAGAGGCCCAGGGCGGGGGCTGCAGTCCAGGGGCAGAATGCCTGCCACAGCCACCTTCTCAGTGGCTCTGTGCTGGCTCCAACGCCTACCAGGAGGCAGGGCGGGGCTGGCAGCCTTCTGGGTTCCTCCTACAGCTGTGCTCCCAAACACATGCCTGGCTGGCATCACCCTGAGGACGGCAGGAGGCCAGTCCTGTCGGTGGCAGCTCCTAACCAGCAGGAAGGAGGACCTAAGGGAAGGTGGGGCAGGTGCAGCTCCAACACCCAGGTGGCCCTGCTCCCCGCCGGGCGCCTGCCTCGGATTCCACCAGCAGTCTTGGAGCTGGAGGGGTCCTGCTGGCCCTGGAGGCCAGACACTGAATTGAACGACAGGCCGGAGGGGTGACCTCCTCAACCCCTGAGAACCAGAAGACTCTGAGCCTTGGCGCTGTGAACATGGGGATTCTAAGACAGCTGTTTCACTTAATGGGTCTTGTGATTTTTTTGTGGGCGACAGGGTCTCCGCTCGGCAGTTCAGGCTGGCCTTGAACTCTTGGCACTCTTCCCACCCTGGCCTCTTCTACTCGACGCAGAGGGATGTGCCGCCATGCCCAGCTCTGTGGTTTTGTGTGTGACCTTTTCAAGAGTCACATTTTTAAAAAACTCCCTCTTATGTGCCGGGCATTTTACTTATCTTACCTCTACTCTTTACTCCTGCAACGCAAGGAGACACCACTGGAGATTGAACTCAGGCCCCTGCGCTTGCCAGGCAAGGGCTTATTCTACTGAGCCATCTCCCCGGCCCCACCTCTAAAGATTGCAGAGGTAGGATTTGAATCTAGATCTGATTTTAGGCTTTTAACTGAGTGTTTCTGCCTTAAGAAGAAAAACAGATAGCTTCAGCATTTGAGCGGTGAAGTAGAGATGCTCAGAAGAGAAGGTGGGTTTAGATTAACTCTACACTGCCGGGCTGGGGAGATAGCTCAGTAGAGTAAGTGTTTGCCTGGCAAGCGCAGGGTCCTGAGTTCAATTCCCAGAACCGTAAAAAAAAAAACAAACAACCAAAACTGTAGACTGCCTTCTTGGGAGAATTAAGCTCTAGACATCTACATGATAATGTTTAATGAGCTATTTTTAAAACTAACTGTTAATTCAGGGCCAGGGAGAGAGCTTGGCGGTCTAAGTGCCTGTCTGGCAAGCTCAAGGACCCAGGTTCAATCCCCAGTACCACATGCTGTGCCAGCCACAGAAATAGGGCGTGGTAGTGCATACCTATAAGCCTCGTGCTGGGGCTGCTCAGACAGGAGGCTCACTACCAGTCTGAGCTGTGTAGCAAGACCCTGTACCAAATAAATAAGTAAAAATAAATAAAAGATTTTTTTAAAAAACAACTTAATTGGTGTTGGAAAGAAAACCTATCTTTCCCAGACTGGAAAGAAAGAGCTCTTGGACGCCACCCACTGGGTGTGGCGTGCGCAGATCTTCCCTACCACCCTCTGCATGGCAGTTGCTGCTTCCAGACCCAGGCCGGCTCCCTTTCCTCAGACCCCTCGCTCTGTCTTCTCCCGACCCGAGCACTCGCTCCTGGGCTGTGCGCTGACGCTGGGCCGCAGCTCTCCTGTCGCTGGGGTTTCCGCCACTGAGCCCCGTGCTTGGCTTACAAGCGCGAGGGCATGCATGAAGCAAGGCGCCCAACGTACCTGGGGCTCTGCCGGCCGCTGGACACCGCGCTTACTCGGACCTCCACGGAAAGGCCCCGTTGAAGCTGCAGAGCTAGAAGAAAATCAAGAGACTGGGAGATGCACTTCAGAAAACTTACTTTAATAATCCTTCCTCCCTCCACCCCATTTGGGAAGTCCAAAACAGTATGGCCAGGTTTTGTTACAAATTAATACACATATTTGGTCACTGTGTAAAATAAATCAACACTGTGGCAATAAGGGACTGTCCTTGGACGAAGTGGCGCCCACACTAACAGAGCACAGCACTGGGATGCCCACTCTGCGGCTTCGCTGGCTCCTCTGAAGACTAAGGGCTGTGCATATGGGAAAGGGGTCCTGCCCAGGCCGCATCCAGGCCCAGTCAGAGCAAGGGGAGCCGGTGCTGTTCTTCAGGAAGAGGGAGAGCGGACAGCTGGACAAACCAATCCATTTATGATGAAGGTTGCAGTTTTTTGAATTTTTGCATGAAATTCATGTTACCTACAGAAATTCAAGGAACAGGAACTTAAAAAGAAAAATGTTCATCCTGTTCTACTGTTAAGTGCCATTCCCAAAATGGAACACTAGGCACACAGGGGTTAAGTTCTTATTTACTGATGGGACCACAGGAAAAAATGGAGACAGTTAAGTTGAAAGGAAGGCCTAGAAATGCCCCATCTTTAAACCTTAAAAAGGTAAAATTTGTGCTCACTTTCACAGCACATATACTTTAACAAGTTACAAATTAAAAAACAAAGCTTAAAGCTGGGCATAGTGGCAAATGCCTCCAAGCGCTGTGGGAGGCTAAGGCAGGGGGAGTGCCCAGCTTAAGCAATTTAGTGAGTTAGCCAGGACCCTACATCAAAATAAAAAACAAAAACAAGAGCTGGGGACATGGCTCAGAGCAAGGCCCTGGGCTCCATCCTCAGCGGTGGAGGTGGGTGGCAGTGGGAGGGCGTGGAAAACCAACCATCACGAATCAGTGAGCTCACTGGAAAAGAGAGCAAGGCACACCGGTGTGCTAGCGCACGCCTAGGACCCCGCCGCTCCCGAGGACGAGGCGGGGGACTGACACGCACTGACCTACACAGGGAGACCCTGCTCATGTGAAAGAACCAGTAGTGCTGGGAGTGGAGCGCTTGCCCAGGATACAGCAGGTCTGGGGTCAAGCCTGAGCACTGAAAAGAAAAAAAAAAAAAAATCAATAAGGTAGTTTTTGCAGTACCAGGGACTGAACTCAGAGCTTTGTGCTTGCCAGACGGGCAAGCTTATGCTGCTGAGCTACCTCCCCAGCACTAAACAGTTCTCAAAAGTTTGGGGCCCCGAGACCCCGGGAATGCCTGCCTCCCTGGGAACTTCTGGGTGCAATGCTCCCCCTCCTTCTAGAGCACCCAAGCAGGGTTTGGAGTTACCTTGAGGACAGAGGTGGGCCCACAGAGTGCAGAGCGGAGCTGGACAGTGTGTCCTCCTGAAGCTTTCGTACATAACACGAACACCCAAACCAACCGCTACTGAGGACGCACCGCCTTGCCCCACGACCCTGCCTGTGCAGGGAACGCACAGGCCCGAGCACCTCTTCTTCAAACACGCTGGCGCAGCGCTCCTGCCGCGCGTCCGCAGCCCTCCACGCTGCCGGCCGCCTGCTCAGGCTCTGGCCTCCTGCCCCCGGCACGCGCGGCTGCTGCAAGGGCTCCTTGCCTTCACTGACCAACCACGAATCTCAGAAGCGACCAAATTTTTGTAAAAGTTAATTCCAAAAGAATTTTCACAGCTGAAATACTTGTTTTCTTTGAGATGATTAAAACAAAACAAAACAAACCACTTGATGCACGGGGTTAGCCAGTGTGTACGCGCACACAGACACACCAGCACACACCCACCAAATTTAGGGGGCTCAGGGAAGGTTTTTTCCTGCCAAAAGATCTAACAGAGGAAAGCTTATGTACTAATCAAGTTTTAATAACATGGTTAACAAGAAATGTACACCAGTTAGCAAGCACACAAAGACCGTGGGTAGAACTACCGACGCCCAGAGCGTCTCTTCCCAGCCTTTTTTCTGCCTACCTTGGGAACAGAATCGACAGTTACTACATTCAGAGAATCCAGGAGGACTGCATGGACAGATGAACCTTTATTTAAAAAAATAGCACTTCAAATAAATTAAAAGGGATAACCGTCAAGTGTTCAAATTGTGAAGAAATAGCTGAAAACCTAGAGAGACTCCAAGGCGCATCTTCTAACCTCGCTCCTGCCCAGTGGCAAGCGCCACACCTCTCGGCCGCGCCCTCCTTCCCTCCCGGGGAGCCAGGGGACAGCTGCGGGCAGGAGCCCACGCAGAGCCGGGCTGCATCTGGCTGGAAGGAGCACTGCCACGTATCTGCTAATACGGCTTTCACTTTATGACCAAATGTATTCTTTCAAAAATAAAAAAGGGGAGAGGGAAGCTGCATGTTTTTAAAAACTGAAATTATTTAGGGATAAACACTAACTCTAGTGCCTGTAACGGGCAATAGCAACTTTTTTCCTCCGAAGTCAAACACCATCCCCAGCTGAGCCTTTGTGCTACAAGCTTTTCAGGAGATGTTACCTAAAGTTTATTAAAAGAAAAGAACAAGTTTAAATATAGACACTGGACTAGCCCAGGCTGTATTTTCAAGTCCACATTCTTCATCTGAAGCACTGCATCAGGGACACCCCTGAGTCTGTATGTGTTTAAGTTCACAGTACATGGAACCAGTTTTCCTTTTTTTTTTTCCTCTCTCAGAGCAGCCACGCACAGTGGCCGTTGACGCTGAACCCTGGATAGGGCCTCTTCCTCTGAGGCTGGGCCCGAGCTGCCCAAACGTTTCTCCTCATGAGAATCGATGCTGTCATGCTCTATGGATGGGAAAAAAGCGAGAAAATAAAAGCACCTGGTACAGGTTTCATGAGATCCGTTCGGATTTGCTAGGTTCCAAACCCGCTGCTCCATGCCACTTCCACCTCGCGCGCTGAACAGGCGTGGCCTCGGCCTAGGTCTCAGTTTGAAGAACTGTTATTGGAGGCCCCAGAGGTCGATGCAATAGCAGCTCCAGCAGGGCTGCTTGTGGACACTGACTTTCGGATGTGCGGCAGCAAGTAGGGATCACAGGCCAGCTGCTGGACATCAATGCGGTCCTCCTTTCGGTATGCCAAACATCGCCGGATAAACGCCTGCGAAACAAAGCTTCTTGTAGGAGGTTGAGGCAGATAATCTCAGCATCCTGGAGAGAACCTGAGACTCTGAACTTGTCGCCTGGGCCCACTGTAAATGGTTCCTAAACTGAGGCTGCGTAAGGGCCTTCTGGAACCACCAGGCAGCCAAAGAAGTCGAGGGCTCAGCATGACGGCAGCACAGCGCTGCACCTACTAATCCCCACTCTGCTGTACAGGAGGCCGGGTTTTTCCTGAAGAGGGGAAGCATGGTCTCTGAATACTCCTGCCCCAAAGCACTGAGATCAACAATACTGACAACACACCTATACTATTTAAATGATGGAACTTAACCCAAAAAGGGGATACAGATCAATGTCCATTTTGTATCTGTGTATTCAAAGTGGTTAGGATAGATATATAGTTACATTCTCTTAATGAATAGAGGGATTTGTTCTAATGGTGTTTGTAAATAAGATATCATGTCCCCATCTTGTACAGCAATTAACCACTAGGAAGAATGTATGCAATGTGTTAATTATTGAAACTGTCCTACCAATTTGGTTTGAAACTGTCTCATTGCTATTTGTTTATCAATAAAATTATGGAAAAAAAAACAATACTGACAACAAAAATCTCTTGGGCGTGGCTGGAATGCAAGGAAGCAGTCTAACTTCCTGGCCCTGCATCTCCAAACCAGGGCCTCAAGCGAGCTTCGACTGCTACCAGGTGCAATGCAAGAACTGACAGCCACTGAGGACACATGGTGTCACAGGCTGCGAAAGGCTTTCCCTAGGACCTTATTTGTTTCTGGAAGATCATTAAACAAATGATCAGGTACTAAAGGGAAAAAGCAAAGGGAAAAAGACTGCATCCCCAAGAGTACTGCAGACATCATTTAACACAAAGGTCCTTTTATGGATTATTTGGCTATTCTTGCTGTTTTTCTTTTTCTTTATTTTTCTTTTTTTTTTTTTAATCAGACAGTTCTATTTATACTCAGTTTTGTAATATAACTATTCAATCATTTTTAAAAATTAAAGTGTCATTATTACGGAAAGCCTCCACCTCACCGGAGGCCAGTGACACTATGACAACTCAGGCCGCAGAGGATGGCAGGGTGCTGCTCCAGAGCCCTGGTGGGGGCCGAGTAGCGTCCTTCCCGTGCTGTGAACACCCAACTGCACCAAGAAGTAACACTTACAACAAAATGTAAAACAGAAACTAGTGTTTAACAAAACATAAAGTAAATGTCAAGTTCTGTCCTACAAACTTGAAGGTGCTTCCTTGATTAAAGTATTTGGAAGATGTAACAGATTTATAGAAATAAATACAAGGACCCCTGGCCTCTGAAACCGATACTTTCTAGAGATTCTAACATGGAATTAGAGTTGAATTGGTTCTTTTGGATCAAAAAGAATTTCTGTTACCTTAAATATTCTTTTTTTGGTTGTGTTTTGTTGGTGGAACTGGGGATTGCCAAAAATTCCTTGCGCTTGCCAAGGAAGCGCTTATTCCACTGAGCCATCTCCCAGCCCCTAAATGTTCGTTTTTCATGGAAATCATATCACATGATTGTATCCTTTCCCCCTTTACACCGCATTTAATGGCACTGGGCCAAGCATGGTGGCACACACCTGGAATGCCAGCGCTCGGGAGGCTGAGGCAGGAGGATCACTGTGAGTCTCAGGCCAGCCTGGGCTACAAAGTGAGCTCAAAGCCAACCTGAGCTGCAAAGCGAGACTCTGTCTCACAACAACCAACCATCGAACGGCACCAGGCTGCTCCCATCCCTTCCCCTGCCTTGCCTGTCGGGTGGGCTGTAAGCTAGAGCCCACCCTTGGGCTGAGCTCACCCACCTCTGCAGGGGTGTCCCCAACTCCCAGGCTGTACATGGCTCCACCTTCACATCATTCAAGGCCCTGCTCAAAACTTAGCATTAAGATCTCCCAGGCAGCAATCAGAAAGAAGTTTCCCCGCCCAAACTCTTTACTGATTTCTTTTTTTTTTTTTTTTTTTTTTTTTTTTGGCGGAACCAGGGATTGAACTCAGCCCATTGCGCTTGCCAGGGAAGCACTTATTCCACTGAGCCATTTCCCCAGCCCCCCTGATTTCTTTTCTTTACAACATTTATAGTCATCTGCTGTGCACTGGGTTTTGTTTGACCGTCTCTCCTAGTGGCATGTAAGAGTCTCAGGGGTGGAGCCTCGTCTGTGTGGCTTACTGCTACCTATTCACAGCCCCAGCCCCACTACCTAGAACAGTGTGCAGTGACTAACAGGCTCTCAGTACTTGTAGGAGGGAGGAAGACAAGAGGGCCGGGGTTGGAGAGAGATATTTACAAGGAGGAAAATGAGGAGAGTAGAGACAATCAGTGGAAGACCTGGAGATTCTTCTCTATCCTTTATAGAAGTCTAACAATTTCTAATGTTTTTAAACATTTAATAATCTATTTAATGAATAAATGCCAACATCTGCCAAAGGTAGTATAAATAAATGGCGACTTGACAGATGATGACAATTGAGCATCTGTTAGGCAGCAGCACTAGGCACCACTCTGCGCAGTGCCTGGGCACCAGCAGAAGCTACTGGAGGGCCGCGACGCAGCTCAGAGGCACAGCACCTGCGTGGCAAGTGCAAGGTCCTGAGTTTGATTCCCAGTACTCAGCCCCACAAAAAGGAAGCTACTGAAGGGACAGATGAGCCACCCCATTGGAGCCTTACCACCAGCCTGTGGGGCAGGGGCTCTGGCCTCTACTTTATGGATGAGGAAAAGCTTCTCAGAAGGTTTAGGCAAAATGACCCAAAGTCACAGCTAGAGAATTCAGCACAGACACCAAAATTAGGCCTACCAGGCTTCAACATTGAGGCTTTCTCCAGCCCTCTCCTAGGAAAACAGCACTTGCCTTAAGAATATATTACAAAATTTCTCTTGGCAGTTCTAATTTCTCTGCTACAGAGTATTTAAGCTGCTGAATGAAGGTGAAGAAAATAAATTTAAGATTTTTTTTCTCCATGTAACATGTCAGGTCACTTGGCAAAGCAGTTTCTTTCTCATCTACTTCACGCTGGGAAGGAACAGCTGGAAGGTACACTGGGAGGAAATAGCTGGAAGCAGCCACTGCTAACAGGAGCCACAACCTGGAACTCGCTTGACCTTTAAAACCGATGGATGGCTGCGGCCTCCGGTGACATGCAGCTCCACCAGCCCGAGCAGGACTGGCTGATACACAGAGAAAGCAGGACAGCAACAACAGCTCGCTGTCCACCTCTCACTCCACACTGCCTTGGGCTGCCTTCATTTCTTGGGGTTAGAGGTAGGAACTGGGGACCGATCCAGTGCCTTGGCACTGAGCTACATCCCTAGTCCTTTTTATTTTAAGATGGGGTGGCGCTAGGTTGCTAAGTAGTGTAGGCAGGGCTCTGCCCTGTGCTCCTCCAACCTCGACCTCCCAGATGCCGGTATGTGCACCAGGACGGTGTGCGCCACCATACCCAGCTAGGTACTCGCAATCTATCCCATAGTTCTTGCAGTGAGCTGTATCTCTGGTCCTTTGTTTTCAGAGACAGGGTCTCATTATATAGTGCAGGATGGCCTTGAACTTCAGCAATCCTCCTGCTTCAGCCTCCCCAGTACTGGGATTACAGGCATGTGCTACCACACCTGGATTGTTTTTAAAGATTTTGAGACAGGGTTTCACTGAATTCCCCAAGCTGACTTCAAACTTGTGGTCCTTCTGTCTGAGCTTCCCAAGCAGTTGAGACTATAGGAATATGCTACTACACTCCGGCCCCAGTACACTTTTATGAATGATTTCATCTGGCCAACAGCTTTAGAGAATTTACTGCTTGCCACTCACCATTATTTAACCCTGTAGTTCCATCCACTCATCCATGAGAACAGTCTATGTTGCCTATGATAGCCTTCAACTAGAGATCTTCCTTCCTGAACCCAT